TGGGACTAAACTTTCGTGCCGCGACGCGGGCAGCACAGGGCCTTTGGTCCCAGTTGGTGGCACCAACCGGGACTAAAGGGGTGCATTGGTACCGGTTCATGGCACCAACCGGTACCAATGCCCCCCCTTTAGTCCCGGTTGGTGCCTCCATCCGGGACCAAAGACCTCTACTTCCCGCCCTTTGGGCTGCTGAAAAGAGGCCTTTGGTCCCGATTGGAGGCACCAACTGGGACTAAAGGGGGCATTGGTCCAGGTTGGTGCCACGAACCGGGACCAATGCTCTGCCTATATAAGCAGCATTCATGAAAATTTGGTTCAGTTCGTTCTTCTCCGCCGCCAGGCTGCCCGTTCGTCTCCGCCTCGCCGTCGCCCCACGTCGTCCCGCGCCGCCCCGACGCCGTCGCCGCACCCCGCCCCGCGCCCCGTGCCCCGTGCGCCGCCGGCCCCTGCCCGTCCCGCCCCGCCCCACCCCGCGCCGCACCTCACCTCGACCGCCAGCACCTGCCCCTCACGCACCGTCGCCGTTGCTGTCGCCGTCGCCGTGAGCAAATTTTTTGCTAATTTAGTTTGATGTTAGTAGTAGCTAATTTAGATGTGTAGTATAATTTAGATGTGTAGTTAATTGAGTTAGATTTTGTTAGATTTTTTTGTTAGATTTTTTTGTAGTTCATAGATTTTTTTGTTAGATGTGTAGTAATTTAGATGTGTAGTTCATAGATTTTTCTGTTAGATTTTTTTCATATTGTGTAATTAATTTGTTCATATTGTGTTAGATTTTTTTCTGTTAATAGATTTTTTTGGTGATATTATTGTTGAATATGCATGTTTGTATGTTCATATATATGCAAAGATCGAATATGTCAAATTTTTATGATTTTTTTCTGTTCATAGAATTTTTATGATTTTTTTCTGTTGTAATTTTGTTCATAGAATTTTAATGATTTGTCTGTTCATAGTATTTTATTTGTCAATTTATGTATATGTTCATATTGTGTATGTATAGGAAAATTGTGCATGATCAAAGTCATTTATGAATATGTTCATATTTAGAATAGAGGAAAAAGGAAAAAAATAAGAAGAGAAAGTGTTTAATATAATTAGTTATAAAAATAATAGAACTATAGTTAAACTAGTTTATTTTTAGTAAGTACTACTTTATTTTATTTATAGTAAGTGCTTCATATATAGTTAACTAGCTAGTTGATTTAATAAACTACTTTATTTTACTATATATAGAAGTAGTTTGTTTTTAGTAAGTACTACTTTATTTATTTATAGTAAGTGCTTAGTACTTGAACTAGTTGATTTAATTAATAAAACTACTTTATTTAACTATATATAGAAGTAGTTCCCGCATCGACGACGATGATGCCTATCCCGCATCCTCGTCGTCGTCGACTCGGCGGTGGAGGCCTGCTTGATCAGGGCCATGTTCAGGACTAGGCTCCGCCGGGCTGTTATTGGGAGGTGCTACCTTCCGGGGGACGTAGGTTGGTGATGAGGCAGCCCGTTGTTGAAGTTTGGTGGCGGTCGCGTGGGGACACCGCGGAGGTGGTACATCACCGTGTCAACGAGGAGGACGAGCACGTCCGTCGCTACAGGTTGCATTGGAGGGCAGGTTCGACAATACCTAGCAGGTTCTTCAGGGATCTCACTGGAGCTATGATCCTGTGATGGTTCCTTATCTTTGGGTGTCCACCGCCCGCGACGATACCCGTCGGGCGCTAAGGTTCTAGCTGTATTAGTGATGCTATATGTATGATTGTATTCGAGGAGTATTAGTGATAATATTCGACGATGTACGGACACAAGAGATGATGTATTTTTGGTTATAATTGAATGCATGCTAATTTAAATACTACTTTATTTTACGATTTGGTTTTGCTTATTGAATGCTCATATTGGAAAAGTACTCCTACTTTGAATGCTAAAATTGAAGAGCACTCTATGCAGAAATCTAGGAGCCCCCTCCATCATCCACGCCGTCGTGGGGGTAGCTTCTCCTTCATTCCCGTGTGCTAGATAATTTGGTGTAATAATGCACTCAGGAATGAAAGGAGGAGCTACCATCACCGATAGTCAACCCGTGATTAATAATAATGATCTAATTTAGGTTTTTTAGTACATATATTTAATTGTACAAGTTTAATATTTGAATTATGAACATATGCCGGAAATGTCGTACTCGGATGACGAAAACCACCCGGAGGAGTGCGACTGGTGCCACGACGACCGAGGTATGTGCGACAAGTTCCTTGAGTTGGACGAAGATTGGCACTTCGGCATTAAACTCGAGGAGACCTTCGATGTTCATACGGTACGCAACGACGACAATAGTTTTTTTCGTAATTAAGCACGACTTCAACTATTTTAACATGTATTTTTCATCTTTTCCAATTCGACTAGCTTATCCCATGCTATGCAAGACGCTATGTCTTGGAGAGGATGGGTTTTGAAGACTATGAAAGTATGGAAGCCAAAACAATTCACCTAAGGACCCATCATGGTGTGGATTTTGAAGTAAAGTTGTACAATGCTGAGAGTATAACCCATTTTGGTTGCAAAAATTGGGAAGCACTTTGCAAGATGTATGGTTTTGATGAGGGTATGCTTGTCACCATGGATGTTGGTGATCCTACAATCGAGCAAGACAATATGGACATTTGGGTCCCTGTGGATACACCTCCAATTCTTCCCTCATGTGAGCTTAACATAGTTATTAAGTAATTTATATTGTTTATTTCAAAATAGTTGACAGCTTATTTCCATTGACAGCTTATTTTCATTCTTTAAAGAATGTGCGGAAGATGGTAGACAAAACCCACTACACCGATGGCTCCGAATTAACTTATAAGGAGAAAAATCATATGATCGCATTTTATACTGATCTTGAGAATTACAATGTCTACAGTCGAACTCCTCAACATTATGGTCAATACGTGCCACTAGTGCACGTGTTGAACTACGGTAACTACCATGGAGATACCCTGGTAAGATTTTTACTATTACGACATCCGTGCATCTTTTTGCATACTTCTAAAACTAGTACATCATTGCTAACTACGAAGTTATTACTATGTTTTTCAACAGATAATCCTGAATGATTGTGTGCCTCATCTGATGTATACGCACAGTCGCCTTGATGTTTTGAACATACAACCAGGTCGTCCTACGAATCTCAACTGTCCATACCGGATTTCTAAAATAAGTGGAGACATGATAATCAAAGAATGGAAAAAAATGTATGGACAGTCGTAAGGAGCTTCATGGAAGCAAAAGGAAGCGACGCGCAAGAATTGGAGACATGATGATCTCCATTCTTCATAATGGAGAGTCGGGGTCTATATTGTTTTATGCTATTTTATCTTAAGTGTGTTTAGGTCTACCTGATACTGATGATGTGCTAAGAACAATTATATAGGGTTGGGTTCGATGACTATGAGTATGATGATCGTATGACTTGTTATTAATAACGAGTAGAAGTTGTATGATGATGCATGATTAGGAGGACTTGTTATTATATATGATGATGTATGATGCGAGCATGAAGAGTTATTATATATCAGCGGGTGAAATGAACATAGCAGTAACGTTGGTAAACCAAGCACGAAGATAAGAGAGGACACTTCTCTCTATTAGCTAGCTAATAACAACCTAAATTGACCCCCAAAATCCCTAAACCAGCCACTTTCAAAAAAACCTCAGCTGCAGCCAGCTTCTGACGCGTGGATGCCTTTTGGTCCCGGTTTATGTCACCAACCGGGACCAAAGGCCCCGCTGCCTGGGCTACCCGCAACGGCCACGTGGATGCCCATCTGTCCCGGTTCGTGTAAGAACCGGGACTAAAGGGGGGAGGCATTAGTAACGACCTATTGTAATCATTCCATTGATTAGAACTCCAAGGCATGATGTATGCCTTTTACTCATCTAAGATAAACCCACTGTGTCATCATCATCGCTATTGAGATCCCTTGAGGCATCAACCTTCCCTCAGTTGTCTTTACACGACTTCTCGTAGATCATAACATCGGCGGCGGTGTATTAATCATCAAAAGATAGGAGCGATGAACCATTGCTATGCTTGTGAGAGGAGGCCGGTGCAAGGGGCGGAAACATTGTTTTTGTGGAGTTACTTTTTGCCCTATATAATAAAGATTTAGTAGATGCCTACTTTCAGAAAAGATGTGATTAACTTTAAACAAAGGACCTTCTTATCAGGCGAACGTTCGCTGGGAGGGTGGCTACTGTGAATGTCTTCTACGGCAATTTTAGTTGTAGAGGTGAAAATTTCTCATGGCAATTCTTTTCTAGAGGAGTCGATCTTTTTAGAAAACTGCCATTATTTAATCTCAATCAAATCAAATCAAACGGACGCGGGGGAGTTCGCTAGGAGTTCCTTCTCAGTGAACGCTCGTCAATTAGCATTATAGGAAGCTCCCGAAAAGGGGAGGACTTTGAAATTAAGGTGGACACAAATTTGGAGTTCTTTTCGAATTGTGCCTAATTCCACACCAATAATAAGCTGCTAAAAATAAGCGGAAAAAAAGGTGCCATCATCGTTTTCCTCTCCGCCGGCCTTCCTTCCGGAGCCCTCGCCGTACTCTCCTCAGTCCCACCGCGGCTCGACTTGCCGCTGCCGCAGAGACCACCCCAACGCCTCCTCCTCTTCCGCGGCGACCACCCCAACGCCTCCGCCTTTCACGGGCGGCCGTCCCCCGTTCCCGTTCGACCTTCCGGCTCCGCAATTCCGGCCACCGGTTGGTTTCTGAGGTATGAGCACGCTCCCATCCATCCATGATTACTTAAACTCCATTGCTGCCCTGGAGATATTCTGGGTGCACAACATCTGGATCTGCCCATGTTCCTCCCCACCAAAGGAAACTGTTTTTTTTTCCTTTCATTCTTTTTTTGGTGGTGGTGGGGGCTTGATTTCTTATGAATATTTGTTAGAGAAAATTTATTTTAACTGGGTTACTCCTTGCACTTCATTGCAGTTCAGAATGGGGAACTTCGTGCCTGGAATTGTAAGTAGAGTGGATCATTGTCATCCAAGGATATCAAGCCATCAAATTGAGCCATTGACCATTCTGGCTTTCAGAGCTATATCAGAGCACATAAGACGATGTAAAGTGTTTGATCGAAAGCTGATAGCAAACGGCCGGTTTCAACTGCTGAGCATTCTGCTTTGTGGAGTAATCCATGCCAAGGGAATAACATGGGAAGATCGATGTAAACTGTGCTGCATTCTCATCTGTGGAGTTATATCTGACTACATCCATCATGGACCAATTGATGCAAAGGAATCAGCGATTGATCTGCTTGGAGACCTTCCAGAGGTACTACGCTAAAATCTCGTGCTCCAGCCCGTCTGTTGGTTGCAGATTACTAATTTCTACCTGTGCGCAACTACGATATATCTTTTTATTCTGCAGGACGTGCTATGCACAATTTTTTCAAAGTTGCCTCTGGAAGAGGCTGTAAGAACCAGTGCCGTATCAAGGAAATGGAGATACTTGTGGATGCTTTGCTCTAAATTGAGTTTCGATGGAAATACAGTATGTGGAAAAAACAATTATGAGAAAAGAATGTATACTCTAATGTTCACTCGCATTGTTGATAGGGTCCTGGAACAGTATCGTGGCAAGTTAGTGGAAGAGCTTGCAATCAAAATTGAGTTGAACTGGATGTTGGTTGAACATCTTGATAATTGGGTTCGTTTTGCTGTATCATCGCGCACAAAGGCACTAGTTTTTGATTTAGCACGAGAACAGCGTCAACCTCCAGGTTGTCATGATCGATACAAATTTCCATTTGAGCTTTTAGACGAGGACAGTATATGCCGTCTACAGAAACTTCATCTTAGCTTTGTAGATTTCCAGCCACCGATGCATTTCAGTGGTTTCCCTAACCTAAGGAAGCTTGATCTGAGCATAGTGAGTGTCAATGGGAAGGATATTCAACATATGTTGTCAAACTGCTGTAACCTAGAGTGGCTGAGTATTGTTAGATGCCATCTCAATGGTGAACTAGAGGTTAACGGCCCACTGCCCCACCTGCTATACTTGAAAATTGCTTCCTGCAGATTAACAAATATAGCATTCCATGCCGTGAACCTTGCGACTTTCGAATACAGAGGACTGGCGGTGCCTATTGACCTCAGTAAATCATCGGAACTGAAATGTGCAAACATATGGTATTATGGAGACACGCTCGAGCACACTATTACTGTTCTTGCTAATGTGCTTATAAATGTGCAACATCTGACCCTCGATACGGCCTGTGAACCTCCAAAGGTTCGCTCTTATACCATCCTTTAAGTCATGAATTATCACATGACTGATCATGACCTTTGGTTATCTATCTTTCAGATTCCCTGTTTGATGCATTACCGATGCAAGTTTTCTCAGATGACGTATTTACAATTGAGGTTGGTTTATATGGAAGAATTCAATATATTATCTTTGGTCTCTTTTGTGAGGTCTGCTCCTTTCATCAAGAAGTTAGAGCTGGACGTAAGTACTCATATTGCATTACTGCTTCTTTCAACGCATTGGATGTCTCGTTTTTGGACCATGCCAACTATCATGCTGTCAACTTGGCGGCACGTTCGAGTATAATATGTGATGAGAAGTGCTGTGCTGGACAGTTTCTTTTATTGCATATATGCTGTCCTGGAATTGATGGATGGATATAGACTGCTAAACTTACTTGTTGTTTGTTTTAGCACTCTCTTTGTTTGGAAGCTACTAGTTTTTTTATTCAATATGAATCTTTCAAGAAATAAGATGACAATTTGACTTTCGGTAATAGTCACAATCCTTCGCATCATACTTCATTGTTGGTTCAAACTATTTTTTTTTTACCATGGTTTTTGGTTTAAACTTGCAGTTCCGTTTCCCCAGTTACGTGCATTCGGTACAAGAATCCGATGAACCTATCAGGAAGCTACCGGAGCGTCTGTTCAACAACTTAAAGAGTTTGTACATTACAGGATTTAAAGCATGCATCGGTCAAGTTGAGTTCCTTTCGCACATGGTGGAAAATTCCCCTGCACTGGAGATTTTAAGTATAGACCATTCAGACAAATATCCCCTAGAAGGCCATGAACAGGACACGAAAATGGTTGTTGACGCGGTCCATAGAATTGCTAGAAGGTATCTTGAAGGGAAGATTTCATCCAAGTGCACCCTAATATTACTGTAAGGGATTGGTTGGTATAGAGATGTACATTGTATCTCTAGCTGGGGATGGAAAATCCTATTGGCGGCATCTTTAAACATTGACTGCTTGCTTCTGTATAATTCTTTTATTTTTATTCCTCTTGGTTTACCGGCTGTTGTTCCTCTGGTTACCGGTTGGGATCTCCTCTGCTAGCTCCTGCTGGCCTGTGCACCGGGCGCCAGCAGCTGCCTCCGCTGGTCGAGCTCGCTGCTTACCTACTCAGGCAAGCACGCAGCTGCAGAGCTGAGCTGCTGCTCCTGGACTTAAGGTAATTTTTAATTTACCTCATCATTTTTCCTATTGTATCCATTGAATTAAATCTTAAACTGATACATTTGTATGATTTTCATGTCACAGAAATACAAGATGAAGCGGTATTATTCATCAATGATTAACTTTTTTCCTTAATATTTATGCCTTTCCTTATGAAATTATATTCTTGAACTCTTGAAGGTGTTGGTTCTCCTACTGTCATTTCCAAGTGAATCATGCTGTTGATTGTAGGTGAATCCTTTGATGACAGTGCTATTTTTTGTTGTTGTCTGAATACTGCACCTGATTCGTATACTAGGTGCCTCTCTGTCATCTACTTTGGAGTTTTGACCCTCAGGGTGGCTCTCTGTTTTAGGTTATTTAGTATAATATAAACTGTCAACAACGTTGTATGCATACTGAAGAAAGCATTGAAAGTGGCAAAGTGGGTTGTAAGACATGGAACATGCTGAAGGTCAGGAAAATTAAGATGTAACGCTGTTATCGAATTATGTCAGGTGTTTGCTATTTTAATAACATGTACACTGATTATACTGTACACTAAGCAGCTTAACATTTCTCAGTCTCCTGTTATCAGGACTTGCATGGAAAAGAAGGCGGCTGAGAGGTACAGTAAGTTGATCACCGAAGTTCTGAAGGATTCCGTGCAGCAGTCGCAGGTTGTCGAATGAGGTTGAGCGGGGTGTTTGAGGAGCCTTCCATTAACTTGACAGTCGATATTTGATAGCTCGCTGCTCACCGTGAAATAGATGACGACTTATATTATGTTCCACTTGATCGGATGTGCGTTGTTCTGTGTATGATCTACCTGAATGCAAAAGTGCTTTTAATGGACATCAAGGTATCCAATTTCCAGCATATGAAAGAATACCCTGTTTCTTTTGATGGAGGCTAAGTACTGAAAACGGAATCGGCAGGGCATGATTCAGGACTGCTGTATACCTAGAGTGGTTTTGTACTTGTTTTCGACACGAAGATATAATACCGTTTCGAGAAACGCAAAACAACAATCATAAGGACAGCGCTTTTGACACAAAGATCTCATACGGTTCCGAGAAACAAAATGACGCATAACAAAGACCCGTGATCACAACGACAGATTTTGAAACTAAAAGCAACAACCAATTTGGTCCAGTTCAGTCGGATCGAAAGTAAGCAACAGACCAATTTGATTCAGTTGAGTTTATGCATGCAGCAACATGATTCGACACCAAGCCGCAACACACCAGCTTTGGTTCAGTTTCTGCATGCAGCAATATGAAACTGAGTCTGAAACTAAGCAACACACCAGCTTTGGTTCAGTTTCTGCAGCTGAAACTGCAACCAGGCAGGCAACAGAGCAAAACAAGTTTCTACAGCAGCTCAATATGAAATTGCAACTAAGCAACAACAAGTCATCTTGGTTCAGGTTCTGCAGCAGCTCAATATGAAATTGCAACTAAGCATGCGAGAATCGACACCGCTATTGCCTGCCGGCGCCGGTGAGGATGAGGTTGAGGACGGGACCTCGTCGCAGGGCAGCAGGTGTCGCACCTCGTGAGCTGAGGTACTCATCAATGTCGATGGCGTCCTGGCGCTGGAGGTGGGCCGGCACGTCCACCATGATGCTGCCGCCCTTGTCCCAGAGGTGTACAACCTGTAGGGCCTCCCGGATAGTCGACACGATGACGGTCGCCGTTTTCTCCTCCTCGTTGGGCTTGCGGGCTGCAATCGGGTCCTCGTCGGCGTTCTGCAGGG